GAACGAGAGAAACGAAAAGTTGCTTTTGTTAGACTTAAATGTGGAGCCTTTGCCATTCACATCGATTTGGTGTGCGGTCACTTTTATCCAACTCAAAACTACTTGGGATTCTCTTCTAATGTATAAATTCATAACGATATAGGATTGATGGCACATGGTTCCCAACCACTCTGCTCCTTAGCCATAGATCAAAGATGCATTAGCACATGGTGGGAGGAAAAGCTATCTTTCACTATCCAGTGAAAAGAGTGGTCACTTGGGTGAGATTCTGCAGCACTGATGACACCCAGAAACCACAGCTCAGAACAGGACCTGTTGTACTCTTAAGTGAAGAGGGAGAAACATTTGTGAAATACAAGTCACTGACTAGTCCAAGAGGGATGCTGAATCACAGTGCTCATTAAACTTTCTGCTGATTGTCCCTTTCCTCCTAGGTTTGTGTAGTTACTGCTGTGGAATCTTGACAATGTTCAAAGCGTCTGGAAATTGCCAGAAAATGTTGCACCCAGACCAGTGCACTGTGAACTCCAGCTACACACTGACCAGCTATTTGTGCCTCAGTCAATGTAATCGTTCATTCTCTGAATAATACTATATTTAGCTGAGAGGAGGAAGCAGACAGCAGGGGACCGAGCAAAGGAGGAATGAATGAACATGACCGGAGCAAGCCAACACCCCCCCTCCACTTCTGAAGGCATTGACTCTTGTTGGGTTCCCTATCCCAGACAGTGGCTCGTTGCCCAGTGTGATTCGCACTCACTGGGTTTGAATACGAGTTTGCAGTCTCCACTGATACTCCTGGACGGTTTGTCGTTCCCGCTGTTTGTGGGGCATTGCTGAGTGCAATTTGTCAAGTTAACCTAAAAAAATTGTACTACAATATTCAAAAGAGAAGGGAATTTCTCCCAGGGTCCTGATCGCGAATCCTACAGTCTACACTTTACAGAACTCTTGTGAAACACTTTGATATTTTGATGTAACAGGAGCAGTATCTCTTTTTTTAAAAAAAAATACAGTGTGGGTTGGAAAACCTTAACTTGCTCCTGAAACCATAGCTCGGGTACGTTTTGCAAGTCCGCAGCTATAAGCAGAGCATGACATTCCTGCTTTTCGCAGCCTTAATCCTTCCTCGAGTTTTCTCGGGGTGTTTTTTTTAAAAATATATTATAAATTTTTTTTAAAAAAATCTGCACACGTCCCATTCAAAAGTGGTAAGACAGCACCATCTGCAGGAGGTTGGAGTGAACATGTCTATGCAACCTCGCTGTGGTCAAGGGTGAGAGTCGGGCCAGCTGACTGCTCAGAAATGTGAGGGACAACCACTCATTGTTTGAACACCTGCAGGCCTGTCTACAGATGGTAAGTGTTACTGACTCTCACTTCCACCAGCTCCCAAACTTTGCTCTTTCACCAGGAAGCAGGAAAAGACTGTCACAACAAAATCTTGGCGCAGGACTCGAGAACTGAAGGCACTTTTTACATGAAACACTTGGAAAAAGTCAGGGAGGGGGCAGGGGCAGGCGGGGTGGAGGGGGGGGGGGGAATCCCACACATGACACTTTTTTGTGCTTCTAAGAAGCTATTCCGGCATTTTAAGGAAGCAATATAGAAAGCAGTGCCCCTGCTATGTAACAAAGGTCACGTCTGTGCAGATGTTTAGGTGCCAACTCACGACTCTCTGGTCTCAAAGGGTTTCGCATTTCAAAAATTGCCCGCTAATTTTGTGGCAGTCTCTCAGAAGATTATCCCGGGCTTATTTGGGGGAAAGTCGGTTTTCATAAAACTGACAAACTTGTTATGCTGTAGAGAAATGCCGCAGATTTAAATTGATAGCAGTGGTGCGATTTGCTGGGTCAGTTGTCGCTCCCATGGTAAGTTTGCTTTTATTACTTCTCCCCCACCACCCCACCCCACTAGGCTGTTTTACAGAGAGGTTGGTAAAATTTGCTGGATGTGTGGTGGGAGCTCCTGATATCCTGGCCAACATTCTCCCACTCACCAAGTGCTAAAAATACATACAATTCTTCTCCTTCAGATGAGATGCTAAACCGAGGTCCCGTCTGACTGTTCAGGCGGATGTTACAGGTCCCATGGTGCTATTTGAAAAGAGAAGGGAGTTTCTCCCGGTGTCTGGGCCAACAAGTCCTCAAATAAAATTGGTTATTCACTTCATGGCTATTTTGGAGACATTGCACAAATGGCCACGTTTGCCTACAAATAGAGCACATCTTGTGAAGCACTTTGAGACATCCTCCTAACTTTGCAAGGATTATTAGTATGCAGTCACTACACATTATGGAAAACTCAGAAGCGATTTGATGCGATGAGAGACTTATCAAAGATAGGTCTATTAGTTTGTATTGTTCTGTCACTACAGTTCTTAGTCACAGCGCTTAGGAAAAGTTATGTGCGTTTGAGATGCTTCAATATGATCAAATGCATAAATAAATAAATCCTTGCATTTGATATAGCGCTTTTCACATCTTCTCAACGTCTCAAAGCGCTTCACAAAATAGACTGTAAAGTGAATTGACTGTATATTTGTGGGCAAAACGCGGTAGCCAATTGCGCACAGCAGTGTCCCACAAAAACAGTCGCGGATTGAAAGTGACCAATTTATTATTGTTTTAGATGGATTATTATTAGGCGTGTGGAGTAAGGAAACTTGCCCAAGGTTTCACCCTGCCTGGAATTGAATCCAGGTGTCTCACTTGCAAGGCAAGTGCTCTAATCACTGAGCTACAGGACTCCACACCATTTGTCTTGGAATGTTACAATTTAACACTGGAATCCAATTGTATGCAATTTTATAGCAAAGTCACACAATAAATTCTACAGTTGGTTCGCTAGTATATGCATGAAGCATTAAGTTTTCAAAAAAAACTAAGATTGGAAATACCAAATGCAGGCAATTGATTACTTAGGAAAAATGATAAAGATTTGGTAATAATTTGAGCTATGTTTTGTGCATATATATATATCTGATGCCGTTAGAACACTTGTGTAAAATTTCTGCCTGTAGCATAAACTGGTGATCCATATATGATACACTGAGCTTCAAGTGCTTCATCAAATACTAGTATTGAAGGACAGCACTATTTAAAAAAGGTGGAAAGGAAAAGATGGGGAACTATAGGCCAGTTAGTCTCACATCAGTGATAGGAAACATTTTAGAATCATTGATTAAGGATGTGGTAGTGCGGTATTTAGGGCAGCACAATATAATTAGGCCAAGTCAACATTAAAAAAAATGCAGCGAGACAGATAGGTTAGGTGATTGGGCAGGTAGGTGGCAGATGAAGTATAATGTAGGGAAGTGCGAAGTCATCCACCTCGGCAGAAAAAACAGTAGAGCGGGTTATTTTTTTTAGGAGGGGAGAGATTGGAATGTGTTAGCGTCCAGAGGGACTTGGGTGTCCTTGTACACCAATCACAGAAAGTTATTCTGCAGGTGCAGCAGCAATTAGGAAGGCGAACGGTATGTTAGCATTCATTATGAAAGGATTAGAGTATAAGAGTAGGGACGTCTTGCTGCAACTGTATAGGGCCCTGGTGAGACCACACCTGGAATACTGTGTGCAGTCTTGGTCTCCTTATTTAAGGAAGGATGTACTTGCCTTGGAGGGGGTGCAGCGTAGATTTACTCGGTTAGTACCAGAGATGAAGGGGATGAGTTACGAGGATAGGCTGACCAATTTGGGCCTATATTCTCTAGAATATAGAAAAATTAGAGGGGATCTTATAGAAACCTATAAGATCATCAAAGGGCATTATAGAGTAGATAGTGGGAGATTGTTTTCCCCGGTTGGAGAAACTAAAACCAGGGGTCACAACCTTAAAATCAGAACCCTTTCGCACTGAGTTGAGGAAGAACTTCTTCATTCAAAGGGCAGTGAATGTATAGAACTCACTACCCCAAAGGCTATTGACGCTCAGTCCTTGAACATATTCAAGACTGAGATAGATAGATTTCTTATTACAAAAGTGATTAAGGGATATGGGGATAAGGCAGGTTTAGGATATTAGCTGGAGTTAGATTAGAAGATCAGCCATGATTGAAAGGCGGGGCAGGCTCGAAGGGCCGAATGGCCTACTCCTGTTCCTTTCCATGTTATGTTATGACATGCACTGTGCAAAGAGAAGTATACTGAGCAGTTAAAAAAAATTCAATCTCTGGTCCGAGGGGATTTCAGCCAGGGAGCAGCAGAATAGCAGAATTAATGTGCGTGTGGTAGTTGGGGGAAAATTAGCCAGTGTTCAATCTATAATGAAGTCCATCTCAAGGACAGTGCAACAGATGTAGCACCCCATAAGGATCAAAGTCTTGGTTTCAAGGAAGTAATTTTAATCCTCGGGAACCACCTGTCTACAACCCTATGGTCATTACTGCACTCTAAATCCCCCACAACTTCAAAGAAAATTCACTCCCTTCATTCTTTGTTAAAATCAACTCCAATCACACCATCGCCTTCTTAAGGGCATCAAACCACAGAGTTCTTACCTCCCTTGTCTTTCCTTCCTCTTACATGCGACAGCCTTTCAAGTTTCCAAAGCTTGGCATCACCTAATGCAACTAGATTTATCCTGCCTGTTTTCCTCCTACTCTTCAGTGACTTCTACAAGTTCTGGCTCTTCAGCTGAGGTTTTCAAAGGAACAAAACAAAGACTGTATATATGCGGGCAGACAGACCAACAGGAACAGTCACAATATTCCAGTTAAATATAGGAAACTGTATTAACCCTCTTACCACTACGTTCCTTGTCCTCCATCCCTTCTGACCCCAACTTGGGTCCAAATCACTGACTGTCCAGTACCTTGGGACATTCCCCCGACGTGAAAGGCACGATACAAATGTAATTTGTTCTTGTTGCTGAATCCGAAAGGCATTTTGTACCCACAATAAAATCCTGCCGAACACTTCTTAATAGAAAGCAGAAAAGTAGACATTTACCCAACCAGTTTTGCGAAAATATTTGAGTAGTAAAGCAAATCAAACACATTCACGTCTTCAAACGCTATTTATTTATAAAGTCCGTCTTTTGGTCAACAGGTCCTGCAGGACGATGCCGCTTAACATGAGGTTTAGTCACTGCCAACACGCAGGAATGCATAGAGTCATACACCAAATGGTTCCATGGACTAGTTTTGAGAAAGAAAACAATTCTTTTACATCATTCAGTGAGAAAGAAAAATCCATTTAAAAACTCATCATCATAGAGCGAGGGAGCACCCAGTTTATCAGTGGTTGTCTGCATTTATGTACAAACCTGTCTTTATCTTACAATTTGGGACGGAGGAAGGGAGTGGGGTGGTGTCAGAAACAGGCACAAGCAAATTTACCTTCGTAGGTCTCCTCACTTTAGAACACAGTGCGATTTCATTAACTTTTAAACTGGTAAAAAGATTATTTTGTTAAGAAAAAGATTATTTGTTAAGAAAACGTACACTTGGAAATCTCAGTGTACCGAGACAATTGGACAGGCCTTCTAACCAATTTAAAGGTCGCCAGTTGCCCAAACTAAAAAATAAATTGCTTTCGCCCTGCAGCACTGTGGAGTTGCAGTTTTACGGTCTACATCGCTGAGATTCGTTTTTACAAAACAATGCAAGCTCTTTGCTGTCCAGTACACATAAAGTCCGTTATATACAATTGTGCACACAATTGTAGCCTCCAGTGGTATAGGAGGTCAATACACTTTATCTAAGCAATGAAATACAGTAAATTTGCAGGCGCAATTGCTATTGAACCCCATACCCGGTGATTAATCGATGTCACAATATTAGAGAAGTGCATATCAGCCTCTAGTAACCATATGACACAACGTGGAGACAGAGAAACTAGCAGAACGTAAAACCTTCATGGGATGGGTGAGCATCATGTGGACAGCGCCATTATACTGTAGTATCACTATTCATTTACACAAGCAGGTCCCAGGAGCATTTTGTTTTTAAATTAAAAAAATTACATTTTCCTCAGGGGGCCATTTTCAATGTTTCAATCACAGAAGCAAAGCGAGGAAACTCACACGCATCACAAGTAGGCTAAACAATCTGCAGAAAGCTTGTGCTTTAATCAGAATTAAAAACAAAATCCAAAATAAGCCTTTTTTGGCACTTAGTGCCAGATTTGATGAAAAGCAGAATTAACCCTTTGCCACTCAAAGCAGCTGTAAATTCCTAAAGTAAACAAAGGAAACCTGTGGGTGAGAAAGGGTTAAGAGGAATCCTTCCCTGCTATGATAATTCAGAAATGTTTCTCTGGAGTCCAAGAAAAATAGGAACAGAACCTATCCTGTGTTAGAAAAGTAGGGCTCCCATGCTTCCAACTTCACTTTGTTCTTTCACAAAGATCTCAAAATACTGGTAGATGATGGTGACGGCCAATAAAATACCCGTCCCTGAACCTATAGCTCCCAGGAAGTCTGCCAGGACAGACAGCGCACCAATGCACAATCCTCCAAAGGCAGCTGCTGTTGGAATATATCTGCAAAGAAAGGAGAGAGGTGTAATACTGACTGAAGAGAGCCATAGCCACCCACCCACCTCACAGTTGCTGCGTTTTGCCCACAAAATAGTCAATTCACTTTACAGTATATTCTGTGAAGCGCTTTGAGACGTCTCAAAGACATGATAAGGCGCTATATCAAATGCAAGGATTATTATTATTATTTAAATGAAAAAGTACAGCACTCCTAAAAGAAATCAGGCATCAACCACCCACTAACCCACACCGAACAGGAGTCAGATTATGATCTTGGATTTCAGGAAAGTGAGAGGGCTTTACACAACCACTAGGTGGAACCCAGGCTGCTTTTATTTTAAAACTACAATGACAGGATTTTTGGATTGGCATTAGTATGTGGTACAGTTTTATCAAAGGTAGGATTAAAATCGAATCCCCAATAATTACTAGCAACTTATTAAGCCCAGTATCTGATGCTGCATTTTATGCACTGTTCACTTAAAAGGTTATACTCTTGCTTCTAACTATCTGTGGCTGAAAACAACAGTGAAATCTCTAAAGCCAGTGCAAGCGAGATTGCAGCTTGTGGTTGTAGGCATCAGCTTTGATTGCCTTTTCTCACGGGAGTAAAGTGGAAGAAAGCAGATACTCAGCCTTTCACTGTGGCTAATACCCATCTATCACTTCAAGCCAATGCGACTATTCAGCTGTTATGGATCTGTATTTTACACAATCCAATTACACAGCCAAGGATCCCACTTCTGGTTTCAAAAGAAGGACAAGCTCAAGGCCCTTAGTGTAGGACAGTAGCTTAGAGAAACACAAAGTTCTGGTTCTAAACCATTTAATGGGAATAGCAGTACATGTTAAATGACTCACCTGTTTAGCTCATGGACCATTGAGGTCTCTCTGTGCCCCCGCATGACCATCTGTTGCTCCTTCAGCTGCTTGGCAACCTGTACAATACAAAGACACACTCCATATGAAGCCATCGCCATTATTAATTCAAGACCAACACTACACAGGATAGCAAACTGCCTGGTCTTGCCAATTAATAAGCAAACGTTCCTCCCTCCATCCACATTTCCCTGCAGAAATAAAACAAGATCATTGCTCAACAAGAACGAGTTTCTTCCACATTCACCAAATCTCCATCCAGTCCACAGGGGAATGAGCACCGCTAGTTCTCATTGGCATGACCAGCACTATAAACAAGAAGACTCCACGGATACCAACTCCAACACTGGCAAAGCCCGACTTCCAATACAATGCCAAATTTATAGAAATTCCACGAAATGCTGTAAAATGTGTACAAATATTCAGCCCTTTTCACACTGTTGGGTTACAGCAGGAATCTTCAGCTGAATTCCGATGAAAAGATATTCTCAAAACTTGTCATTATGTTTTTAAGTTACTTTATTGCTAAGCTCTGAGCTAATTGGACAGGGGGGTGGGGAGAGAAGGGGTAATAATTGCCCCAAAGCAGTTACAGAGGTTCACTGTGAGGGAACTGAATGGCAAAATTACAATCAAACACCAGCTCAAACAGTTCTGGGCTCAGTAACTATTCAAATCAACACTCCTGATATTAGTAATGCTGTTCAATTAAAATATCTGAGAAGCAGAACTACTCAGAAGAAAGAGATAGTCTTGAAGATTTGCTCCAAAACCAAAGCTTCAGGGTAAAATACTTACATCCTTGGCTGAAGAACCAGACACTTCAATCCAGGTCTTGGAGAAGAAAGCACAGGAGCCCAACATGAAGACAATATAAATGGCAGCGTGAACGGGGTCATCTAACACTGAACCGAATGACTCCGGAGGAGAGAGGTAATAGCACAGGCCTCCGACAGGATAGGCTCGGGCTGGCCCACCACCCGTATTGTCCTTCAAAACAGAGGGGAAAAATGTCAATAGAGATAGGAAAACAGCACTCAACCAACTATTGACTCGATCCTCCAACTGAACCCATACTTGTCCACTCAATCGCATCTAATTCCCTTTTGAAAGATCCAATTTTCTAGACCTGTGTTAGTCCGCCAATGTTAAGTGTAGGGTTTAGTGCAAAATTGCTTTGTACTATTCTATATATCATATACACCCATGGATTCTCTTCGTTGTAAAAATTTGGTCAAATCCCCTCTTCCCTTTAGTTATTTTTGGTGAATTCAGTGCTCAACATGGTTAGGAACATTGAGCTGCAAATCAAACACCTTCCCATTTCCAGCATCAGCTTCAAGCACGATTAATGCAGATTTTGTGAAGCATTTCCCACCGCATGAATGGTTCCAATTTGAACGACTTCTTAAACCTGTTGAAACTTCTGCACAACATTATGTTCTACAGCATCACTGCATTGTTGATATTCAAATGCCAAAACAAAAAAAACTAAATACTTTAATTTGTTGCTTTCCTCCCCAGTAAATGTTTTTGATTCGGATCAATCCATTTCCCAATAAAGATTTATACTTACAGACCAGGTGCCAAGGAGATTCACGAAGAAGTTCCCACTGAATCTTGTGGACAACATCTGAGAGATGACGTACAGGTTGGACACCAGCGCAGACTGGAGGATAATGGGAATATTTGATGTGTAGAACAGCTTGATGGGGTAGGTATTGTATTGCCCACGGTAACGGGCAGACTTGATTGGCAAATCCACTCTGAAGCCCTGCGACAATCAAAGAAAACTTTTCAATGCTATTGATCAAACAGCACTGTGCGAAGATTAGCTTCTTCCTGTTTGGGAAACAACTGGATTAGGTAAAACCTTCCAAACTCTCACCTTCCTTAATGTTACCTACCTAAAGATCAATGGGGTAAATTACTAGGCCTTTGAGCTAAAGTCAGTAGGTTCACAAGAGCTGCCCCTTTATGAAGTTTTTTTACGCCAATTCTCCTTGAAAAGATAATAGCCACACATACACATATGAAACTACCCACTCAAGATAGGAGGCTGTAACCTTAGGGGTTCAACTGACAAGAAGCCACAAGAACAAACCTTAAGCAGTTTATAAATTACCCAAACAAGACAATAGCCTTGAAATTACTCCATAATGGATTACGCGGGGCAGCTTTAATTCACCTTTCGGTTTCTCTTGTCAGCAGATGGCCAGAGTGCTTCACATCAAAACTCACCAATGGTTGAGCTTTGCCCCATGAAATGTTGCTCATTATAAAACCTAAGCAACCAGAATTTCCTCCTTAAACCTCATTCCATTATCAGATTCCCATTCCGTTATTCCCAGATATTTACTTTCCCTCAAAATTTGAAAATCTCTAAACAGGACTTCTAACTCATCCCAAACTACATGAATGTAACTAATCCTTTAAGGAGCTGATGATTGTATTTCAGTTTCAGAGGATCACATTCTCATGCTAATCCACTGCCCATTTGTTCTTGTCTGTTTAGGTTTCTGTAGATCACAGACAGATTTAAAAAGATCCAGCACACATTGCATTCTGAAAGCACATTACTGTAGGATATGAAAATAGGTTTGGATTAGCTCAGAGATCAGACAGCTCTGAAGTTCCCTGGAAGGTTGGTGACAAACAATTTGTCTCTACTCTTATCTTATTATTACTGTTCCTGCAATATATTTCACAAGAACTACACACTCATGTTTTCTCTGAAAACAGTAAAGAGACAACACATTTGCTTTCTGGTAACTTTGCTTAACATATCTTCTCTTAAGAATTGAATCCAATAAAAAAAATTACATGTTAAAAGTCACCACCTCATTGGAATACCAGCTTCCTTGTAATACAATAACATTCTAACTATAGCTGAAATATACCTCCTTTCCCAATTGTTTTCCCACCGCCTCTTCCTGATGGGACTAAAACTGAGGCACAGATTCCCAAGGTACCTATCGCTCTTCAATACCTCGCCCTGTGTTGCTATTTTTGTGTACCCGAGTCTCCTCATTGTACATTTAAATAACTCCAATGGGAATACCTACACAGCACTCGAGAGATTATAATAATAATAATAATCCTTGCATTTGATATAGCGCTTTTCACGTCGGGAGGACGTCCCAAAGCGCTTCACAGAACACACTGTAAAGTGAATTGACTGTATATTTGTGGGCGAACGCGGCAGCCAATTGTGCACAGCAATGTCCCACAAACAGTCGTAGATTGAAAATGACCAATTTTATTATTGTTTTTGGTTTTTGGAGGGATTATTATTAGGCGTGGAGTAAGGAAACTTGCCCAAGGTTTCGCCCTGACCTGCCTGGAAATGAACTCAGGTCTCTCACTTGCAAAGCGAGTGCTCTAACCACTGAGCTACAGGCCTCCATTATATTCTCCTTACCCTGAGGAGGAACTGAAGCCAACTATAACACCCTCACTGCTATGCTGGCTCAGATAACAAGCCCACAGCCTTCTAGTTTGTAAAAGGCTTAGTGCTCCACAAGACAATGTCTTTATTAAATTTGTTATTATTATTATTTATTAAATTATTGAATTGGTATTAAATCCCCAGCTCCTGCTCACTCACCTGGAAGTATATAACCACAGCAAAGACAAAGATGGTGGCGATGAGATTCATCAGATTAGGAAGGTTCTGCCGGTAGAAAGCTTCACGTAGGGCCCGGACTTTGTCTTGACGTGTGGCCAACAAATGAAAGAGGGCAATGATAGACCCCTCAAACTCAGTTCCTGCACAAAACACACTAGAATTATAGCACACTGACAAGGTCCAAACAATTAGGACTATATAGTAGATTCCTGACAACCCCACCTACCTCTTCCGGTGTTGACTGTAGTAGGGCTGAACGCCTTCCATACGATTGTCTCGCAAATGTTTGTGGCGATGAAGAGAGAGATACCAGAGCCCAGACCATACCCTTTCTGCAGCAGCTCATCCAGAAGCAGCACAATCAGGCCAGCAACAAACAACTGAAATATAATTTGAAAATACTTAAGAATTTAAAAATAAAGTGACATGAGACACTTTCAGTTAAAAATATTAATGCAGTCAAGGTTGGAAACTCAAACTTCATAATTACTGTGAAGTTTATGATTCTTCCCTTCATTAAATGTGCTTTGCCAACGCTACAACGTCAACGTTACTCTCACTTTCTGGACTTCTCCTAAACCTCTGATTTGGTGCTGCCTGGGAGAAACCAAACTCTCAGGACTTCACCATGCAGGAGGTGGCTGTGGTGTGCAAATCAACAGTTCGCGACTTCAATATTGTAAACATTGTTGATCCCTGAATATCTAACAAACCAACATCTAATTTCCAGCAAGTGCTTTTGTCACCATAAACTGTAAGATTCTCCTTCATAGCCTCCTTTTTCAGCCCCACCTCCAAAGTACTGCATTTCAACTCCCATTGGCTTCCCTGCTTTTCTTCTAGTCCCTTCTAATCTCTGGTATAATCCTAAAGAAATTAGATCTTGTATCTAGAACAAAATTAGCACTTGCCTGATGCTTGACTGTGCAGAAGATTTCAATAGCAAGAACGTAGTCACTTTAACTATAATGTTGCATTTATAGTAGACTTTGTGCAGCTTTACCTGAATGATGATGAGGAGGCAAATACCAGCTCCCATTTCTGATGGATCTCCGTACATGCCAGTCATGACATACACAATGGCTTGTCCAATGGTGATGATCATACCAAATACTGGGGTAAGTAAGGGAGGAGAAAAATAGTTAGCCTGCAATATACATCAGAACATAAACACTAGCAGAAGAAGCACTTTGAAGCGCTTTGGGACGTCCTCCCGACGTGAAAAGCGCTATATCAAATGCAAGGATTATTATTATTATTATTACTAGTGTGGCGATACACATGCTTAACAAGACCTTGTTTCTCAGCCAACGCTTCCAAAAACCCCACCACTACCACCCTCCGACTGCACAACCGTTGGGAGTATTACTCTCTTTCACTTAAGCCACACTTAAAACAGTCACACACTTCATTACTTGGAAGTACTTCGAGACATCAGTGATGAAGTATAAGTTTTTTTTCTTATTCATCCAATCCCAGCCACATTTAATATGGAAACAACAACCAGTCACAACTGCTTTGCTAAATCAGGAAGATGGCAGAATTCATCTCTGCAATTGTTGAGTTAGGTAATTTCAGCCAGTGACAGTAATTGGGCACTGACTGGCCACAGTCCTCTAGGGATTTCGATTTGAGGGGAAGAGAGAAGAGGAGAAAAAAGTGAGGAGGGTGAAAGAGGAATAATCACTATGCAGCGATGCTTGCTGAGTATATTGCTTTTAAAGATTTCTGCTGCAATTGCCCATCTAACTCTGTGTGGAGGGAGCAATATAAGTGCAAATTGTTGTTATTTATTGTTACACACACAGGGTCAATTTCACTTTACAATATATTCTGTGAAGCGCTTTGAGACGGCTTGAAGACATGATTAGGCGCTACATCCAATGCAAGAATTATTACTTATCATAACCTGCTCCAAAAATGATGAATGAGATCCGGGGTAAGCATCACCCAGAGAACCGTTTCCCAAGAATGAGTGCGCAATAATAATAAACACTGTATAGGATCCCCTTTGATTAATTATAAATGACAGCAATGTGCTTTTCTATGTCCCAATGTTACATAATTTATAGGAAAAGGTAAATCTCAAACAGAACACACATGAAGATTACAGAACGTGTACTGCACAAGGTTGCTCTTATCTTTTTCAGCTAATGTACTCAGGCAGAGGTGAGCATCAGCATCTCGGCCAAGTATGGAATTGGATTGTCCGTTGGATTGCATAGTATCAGGGCATACTCCTAATACAATCTGTTAAGACTGAAAACGTACATTTCTGAGCTCCGTTGAAGAGCGCTCGATCTTTGGGAGTGTCACCGACTTCAATGATCTTTGCACCTGCCAGAAGCTGCATGATGAGACCAGATGTGACAATGGGAGAGATACCGAGTTCCATCAGTGTACCTAAAGAAAAACACATACTGTTAGCCTCTTGTGCTGCACTGAAATCAACATACGTCAACATCTCTACCCTTACTTAACATCTCAAAGATTAGAAATCCTTACTCCATTCCTCTTAATAGTTAAGTTCCTCTTTAACACAATACCTACCCTACCTCCCCACCTTTAAATGCATCATTCTGACTGTTTTTGGTCATCTAGCCCCATCCCCCCACCCTCCTTTATCCTCCCATCCCCAACTTGAAGTACCACACCAGCTGTGGGAAGTACTTTGAGTACCTTGAGATGTCCTCCCTGGCATGAAAGGCACTATACAAGGATAAATTGGGTTATACTAATCCTCCCATGTGCTGAAAAATAGAAATACAAGCTGCAGCAGCTTTTGGTTCCTTAACAGGGCTGTTGAAGTGCAGACTAGATGTAGCTGGTATTTAATATTTGATGATCTTGCAGCACAGCATATTGGTGCACTAACACACCGACATGAAGTGGCAGGTTGTGGATTTGCATCCATGATTCTTCACATCAGTGTTTTTATAGAGATGTGAACTTAAGAAGCAAAAATGGGAAAGCCACAAGGTAGTCATGCACCGCTTGCATCTATGCTGCCTGCAAGTACACTCACCCAGGGAAGGAATGGCATGTGAAGCAGAATGACATGGCTTAAATAGCATGAAGATACTGACGCTGCTTAAAATGGCTGTCAGTCATGAAGCAGCTGTTAGCTCAGAGCACAAATGTGAAAGGGGTCAATAGATGGGACACCCTTAGAATGAAGAAAACCCGACACACCCATACTGTGCGTGACAACACAGTGAAGAGCTATAATGCATTACATCAGTACGTTGGAACAATGGACATGTATCTAATATGAGCTTCAGGACTGTCACTGGCATTCAGCAACACTTCGTACCACTCATATCGGCTCTGGCTTCAAGACTGCGTCCAACATTTTGAGCTATGGAACAGTAGTGCAAAACACTCAAGAGTAGCAGTGAGGGGAACAATAAAATCTGAGGAAACATATTAAGAATTGAACACGAGCAGTGTATTGGAATGATAAACATACTGACTGAAGTGTGATTTTTCTGTTACTATTTAGCAAGTGAAAAACACCTTAGTCACAATATTGAGATTTAGGCCTGGTTGTTTAGGAGACTAAAGCAAAACAAACAATGTTAGATATCATTTAAGTGTTGATTACCCTGTTTGACGCCAAAATAACTCTCATCCAGTAGAATGGATCTGCAGAGTCGGATGACATGATACCAAACAACGGAATCTGAAATGTAAAATAAATATTTAAAATCAACACTTTAGGAGTATTAACAAATCCACATCTCCCAAGTAAACCCAGTTAAAATATTAAAATGTTTGATTTCTACTTCAAACATTAGATTGCTTCAAGACAGAAGTAACATCCTCCACATAAATCCAAGTTGGAGAAAGAATAAAATGGACTCACCTGGCAACAGACTAAGAAGATGAAAAGCGTTATTGCCGTCCATAATACTTTTTCTCTGAATTGAATCTAAAAATATGGAAAAGGATAAAAATGCTGAGATTAATACGAATAAAGACCATGAACAACATCAGGAACATCCAGTATGAAAAAATACTAATAAATAAGAAACCTGCAAGCTTCGATACAAGATAACCCAGGTTTAGATCCTTTGGTTTGCAAAATTATGGAATCATTTCATCACATCCTCTCCTTAAATTACAGATACAATCCCATACTTTAATCAAACTTTGACCATTTGTCTTAGGCTTCTGATTGATCCCGTACACAAAATCTGGGGGAAGAATGATAACTGTATGAACAATTTGGGGATTGAATCACATATTAGCACATCCTGGAACAACGTCAATAGTCTTTTCCTGTGCTTGCTGGTACTTGTAGGCTTGACAGGCAATCTGTTTAGATTGCCTCCTCTCAACTTTGTTCAACAGCCATTTTTTATAATTAGCTACATATTTAACCACAATCAGGCATTTAACCCCATAACAAACTATACAAAACTCCACTTTACTTTTCCTAGCTATATAAAACCCTACAATCAAGTTTTCTTTTGTTAAATAATCAGTATTTCTTCACATTTATAGCCTGAAGCCACCAAGTCATTCTAGTGTAGAATTCCATGGGTTATAAATGGTATCAAGAACCTCTCTAAATGACAAAGTGAGTGTCTAGACAGTGACTAGCTATTCAACCACAGCATCACAACAGAGTCAGATACTATCCTCACCAGGGATCCACATAGATCTGAGATCATGAGAATCTGGTTTACTTCTCCTCTGCCACAAGCTAATGTGGTGCAGCCTCTGGAAATAAGTTAGTTAACTTAGCACAGAACAGGATCACGTAGAGGCACACCAGTCTCACACTAAGGTAGAGCGCTTTACCAACTGAGTGACAAGGAGGAGGAAACCCCAATCTTTAAACATAATCCTTTTAAACAGCAAGTAATTTACCTTTCTTTCAGGTTTCTGAATCTCTGGTAATACCGCACAAAATGGTTTGATGACCTCAAGAAATTTTACTGCAAGACAAGAAAATCAGGAAAACTTGAAATTAAATATACAGACACACACAAGCAAGTCATGAGCCCACCTAAGTTAGTTATGCACAGCTTCAGGCAATCCAGAGATACATATTGCAAGCTTTTTTTAAAAAAAAGAAATCTATGTAAATTTTTGATTTAAAAAGAAATAGAAAATGTTACGTTTCACTCTATTTACTGACATGCACAATACAAATTCAGTAAACCTTTCAGCAACATAATTTCTCAAAATCATGGCTGAGTGGCCTATTACTGTAGTGTACTATATAATTCCACATAAATGTGAATACCTTGAATGTCATTGACAAGAACATACCCTTACATTACCAGTCCTTCTGGGAAGTAAATATTCTTTTAAAATCCAACATTTTCCACATCTGAGAAAATGCTGCCAGGGAGAAACGTTCCACGTCCTACTCTTACTCCAACTCTCAAGGATTGTTGACAAAACCAGTTTGTCCACCATTCTAGACGTTCACGGAAGAGACTGCGATTTGACCGATACCCAAGTGCATCCTCTTCTCTTTCGTTGTACGCATCAAGTGCTCGGGATTACTATTTTTATAATAATAATAATCCTTGCACTCGATACAGTGCTTTATATGATGAGAAAGCACAAACGCTTCGCAGGATCTTACTGTTAAAGTGTAGTGACCCTACATTTCGTAGGCAAAATAGTGTGTCCAATTTGCACACAGCAATGCCCCACAAACAGCCGTGAAATGAATGACCAAACCTGAATCTGTTCCACCTTACATTTTTTTTATATATTAAAAAAAAAGCAACACCACCGTTGATGGATGTTGTTTCACGTTACACGTTTTAGGCGGTGCGTCTGACTTTCATTAGTCGGTGTTGGGTGCGGTGATATGTATTTATCGACCGGTACGGAATGAGTTGAGAAGTCAGCGGATTCACGGAAGAGAGAGAGAGAGAGAGAGAAAAATAAAGGTTGAGCCCCGTAGACACCGGTGAAAGATGTTTAAGGAGACAGACGGCCTGAGAAGGTAGATGTCTTCTGCAGTGAGGCGCTGTTTGAGGGGGAGGGGGAGGGGGGAAGGGGGCGCTCGGCCTCCACACCTCAAACGGCGACGTGGCGTTCAATTGCCAGCGACCGCTGAGGGGCAAACGCGGCTTCGAGAGGGTTGGGGGGGGGGAGAAGAGGCCTCGGATTCGGGTTGAAGTGTGTGTGGGGGGGAAATCCTCCTCCTTCCCACCCCCCAAACGAGGCCCGGGAGAGAAGAGCTGCGGCCGCCCGTTCCCTGAGGCAAGAAAATCGGGTCCAAAAGGGGCTCTCGCGGCGGGGACTCGATTAGGGCCTCCGGTTTTCGGTCGAGGCGCCGGCGGGCAGAGCGCACCGCGACGAGAGGGCCCGACACTTACTGCCCATGATGGCGGCGGAGGTGGTGACCACGACGACAGCGGCTCTACGGGGAGAATTGGTCCGGGTCCGGCGGCGGCGGCGGCTCTGGGAAAGGGAAGGGAGAGGCGGCGGCTCCTCTTTCTCAGGGCTCACTTCAGAGACACGTCAGCGGTCGGAGGGGGAGCAGCAGCTGGAAAAGGCCGCCCGCCAATGGCAGACCGCTGACGCCCCCACGTGACCTGCCGGCCGGCAAGAGCCGAACCGCCGAGCGCTACGTCACGAGCCGCCCGGGAATTCCCGAGCGACCAAAGGCACACCCACGTGACCGCCTCAGCCCGGCTCGGGAGAGGACGAGAAGGGCTGAGCGTCGAACACGTCACGCGCCGCCCGGGAACACACGAACCCCCCCCCCCCCGGGCGGCTGCGTCGCAAGCCACCCGGAAAGACCCGAACGACCAAAAACGTGACAGGCAGCCCCGGCTCGCGAGCAGTGGACGAGAAGGACCGAGCGATGCACGTCACGCGCCGCCCGGGTACGCGCGCACGGAACCACGTGCCGAGCGACCACGCCACGTGACGCGCTGTTGACCGTTGGGTCGCGCGTGCCGTTCAAACTGTCGAGGAGATGCCGCGCGAAGGCGAAATGGTTGTCCGCCATCTTGTGACCCGGAGGAGCAGTTGGGTGCCACTTACGCCGAATGTGCTCAGACCGTTCTCACAGGTAGACTGTAAAGTGTGTATTTTCATAAGAGTTGTAGAATTATACAGCACAGAAGGAGGCCATTAGGCCCCTCGTGCCAGCGCTGGCTCTTTGAAAGAGCTATCCAAATTAATCCCACTCCCCTGCACTCTCCTTATAGACCTGCAAATTTGTCTTCCCCAAGTTTGTCCTCCTTTGTAGGTGAACATGGCAGCAATTTCCCATTAAAAACAGCAATGGTCTTATCTTTGGGGGAGATTGTCAACCAGGGCAGTAGGAGTAAATCCCTTCTCTCTGAGAATAAAACTCTCCGAATGTAATGTTTTCATTACATTGAGGCTTGACTATGCAAACTCATTGGTTGTTGGCCTCCCCAACTCCTCCCTCCATAGGCTGCAGATCATCCAGAACTCTGCAGCCCGGGTCCTCTCCGCACCAGGCTGTGTGACCCTATCACCCCCATCCTCGACCGACTGCACTGGCTTCACATCACACAGAGGATACAGTTCAAGATCCTGGTCTTCGCCTTCGAAGCCCTCCATGGTCTTGCTCCCCCCCCCCCCCCCACCTCTCTGACCTTCTAACCCCCTACAATCCTTCTTTCTCGCTTCGGCCTGCTTCGCGTCCCCTGCCTCGCTCGCCCCACTCTTGGCGGGCAGGCCTTCTGACATTTTGCCCCCAACCTCTGGAACTCCATTTGCAGTCCCTCCGCCTCGCCCCCCTCCCTTACCTCCTTCAAGACCCTCCTCTTCGACCGTGTTTTCAATCTCCCAGTTTGCCCTCCGCCCTCCCCAACCACCAGCTCGGGTCCAAAACTCTGTCTGTCGAACGCCTTGGGACGTCTTCCCGACGTGAAAGGCGGTATACAAATGTAATGTTGTTGTTCTTGGGATCTTGAACATTCACCTGAACAGGCACAGACGTAACCTCAATTCAGCATCTCACCTGAAGGATGGCCACACTGGCTCTGCAGGACGTTCCACCCAAGACTATTGGAGTGTTCAAAACCTTGATGTGTGACTTGAACACAACAAAGCCTTCTGGCTCAGAGGCAACAGTGCTACCAACTGAGCTAGGCTGACACCCAAGGAAACAGAAGCATCATTTTGAGCCACTTACCATGCCCATATGGTGGTGTCAATTAGGAAATGGACTAGGAATTTATTTTCAGCATGAGGCTATAAACGAGGTTTAGGCAATTACAATGTGTGATTGTGTTGCATTGATTTAAATCTCTCAGACATTATTACCCCCCAAATCACTTACCTAGATCTTCTGTAAAATGCTGTACATATGTGGTGGGTGATCAGGTCAATTGAACTGCAAAGATTTTGACTGCGTGTGGATAAATTAAATGAAACTAATTTAATGTTCAGAGATGTCAGTTACAAAGTTCCTCCAGCAGAGGACAGGCCTGCTCTAGTGTTGACAACACTGTGCTAGCCATCTTTTATAAGAACACAAAAGCTGCCAGGAATATAAAAAAAACCTTAAAACAAATCCATTCCTTTTTTGATTGTCTTCTATGCCTCCTTACACACATCCTTCATAAAAACACCACTATTAGCCTCTTGTTCTCATTTATACCGCCCATTCCAAGAGTCTTCCTTGGTAACTACGCCACAAGTCAATTCTATAATAATAATCCTTGCATTTGATATAGCGCCCTATCACGTCTTCGAGACGTCTCACAGAATATACTGTAAAGTGAATTGACAGTATATTTTCTGGGCAAAATGTGGCAGCCAATTCCACACAGCAGTTTCCTTCAAACAGTCGTGGATTGAAGTGACCAATTTATTACTTTTTTTGAAGAAATTATTATCTCCGGAAAAGCGATCCCCCAATCGACTAACAACTGGGTTCCTACTTACTGCTAGGTAAACAGAGGCATGTGAAATAAGGAAACTTGCTCAACATTTCGCCTTGCTGGGAATCAAACCCAGGTCTCTTGCTTGTGAGGCGAGTGCTCTAACCACTGAGCTACAGGACTCCACGATATTATACTTCATATCTGTCGAACTTGTTGACCAGAATACTGGGAGAACCTCTCATCTTTTTTCGAATAGTGCCATGGGATCTTGTTAACATCCACTTGAACAGCAGGCAGTGCTTCCCCACACCAGCCCAACATTAAATTATCAGCCTAGATTATATAAATTCAAAATCCCATCACGGGCCTTGAATGCCACAACCTTCTAACTCTGAGGCACTCACAATTAGTTCTCAGATAAACAACCCAGGGTAACGATGGATTATAGAGTCGCTTGGGTGGTGTGACATTAAATCCTGCAAGGATGTAACTATTTTGTGCACTATAGACACTGCTTTCTTTCTATACGCTCTCATGCATGTTTCTGATAGCCTAATAATTTCCAATACCAATTTGTTTTTATTCTTAATCAATGTTCCCTCCTTAGCGAGAACTGTGCTCATGTTGAGGGTACTAGACACCCTCTAGCACATTGTTTAACTGGCGATGCTAAACATCCTTGCATTTGATATAGCACCTTAACACATCATTGAGATGTTTCAAAGGGCTTGAAAGGATTTACTGTACATTTTGCACATAGCAATGTTTCCAAAAAAGCCCTGAATTCAATAAACCAATTTATCTGGTGCAATTTTATATGCTTTAAGTGTGAACCTCAGATAGTTGTTGTATTCCACAGTTGAATAACCTCAGTGCAATTCAGTACTGGTCTAAAATTCGCACACGTATGCGTTCCACCAGCGATCACTGGATAGTGTTCAACAGCAGGAACCCTTGTTAAATGTTCTTCTAACCCAGTGTTTATAAGCCACTAGGCTATTTGGCTGAGATCAAATTAGTCAGCAAAAGTCAGCGATTTAACCTTTCTAAGTATGGTTCATTTCGACACTTGGCAGTAGCATTACCAATTAAGCCATCAGGGAAGCCTTGCACCATTTTTTAAAGACAAAAAGCTACAAAAAATGCAGAACTGCAAATCATGTGAGATGACAGCCAACAAAATTGGCAAAGTTAAAAGCACAAATCTGCAGTCTATAAATATATTTTTAACTTGTGCAGAATACATAGTATCATCTAAAGCTGACAATGAACCTCTGAAAACAGATTTGATGATAGGACTAATCAGTTCAAATGTATCAATCACAGCAATGCTGGTCAGGCCTTAGAATAAACAGGAACTCACCAGGAGGGCTAATTAGTTGGCTCAATACCCTAATGTGAAGTCTTCACTTGATGCTCACTTCATTAAGTACGACATTCTGTTGCTTCAAGAGAGATACTTTTGGATGGATTCACAGGTTGAATTTCACACTGGAGAAATATTAGGCAGCACAGGGTTTTGTCTCCTTATTTTGTTCAGAATTAGTTGCCCACAGAATCATGTGCAGAACTAAATCAAAAAGTCCAAACCTGAAGGCAGTCACTACGTGTCCTATTTGCCATCTCATTCATCTACCAAGTCAGGAGGTGGTGGGATGAGATCCCTGGGGTTGAGCCTTGCAACCAGGCATACATCATAGCTGTCATGCATAAGGACATTGCAGGCCACAACATTCCACAGGTTTTCCCAGGGGTTCATTTCCAGAATCTCTTTAACAATCACTTCATGCCGATCTGAAAGTGAGGACAAAATGAAACAGAAACGCTGTAGATTACAAAAAATCGATAGGAGCTGCCCCAAATATGACTTAAAAGTTTTTGACCAAGTTATGAGCGATTCCAGACAATTAGTGTCAGTAGGCTATTTAACTTCAGGAGGCATCATAGTCAAACCTTACCCTGCTTTCACCTGCACCCCCCACTATCACTTGTCAACAGGATTCACTGGATGGGAATAAGGTGCAACAGGCTAATGTCCCGTCTCCCTGCCCTTGTCTGCTTAGCATGTCAAATGAGGCCAAATGTAGCATTTCACCTGCTGTCATCAGTAAGATCATTCCAGTGAATTATTTCGTCAGATCTTTTCATACCTGCACTTTGAAAGGCTCCACAGAGATACAGCTTTCCCTCTATCACGCCTGCACTGGTGGAATTTGTACGAAGAGACAGAATTGGTAACGGCAAGGGAGGTCCCTCCCGCCAGAAATCACCATCTGGGTTGTAGATTTCCACCAGATCCAAACATCTCCTCGCCTGACCTCTGTCAACACCAGAGCAGCCTATCCCACCTAAAGTTAAAAAAGTAAGTAAAGGTTACAGATTTCTTTTTCCTGCTTAGAAACAGAATCTATTTCACTCTATTTCACCTTCTGCCTTCCTAATTTTCTTCCTTCCTAGCTTAAAACTCCGGCCGACTCCTGTACTCAGCTAACTCAGGCTTGCAACAAGTCCCCCACCCTCTCCCTACCACCATCAGTGACTGAGCCTTCAATTTCTTTGCCCCTAACCTCTAGAATTCCCTCCTTGTTGCCCCTTCTCTATCAGTCTTTTAGACACACATTAAAATCTACCTCTTTGACCACATTTTATGGTCATCTCCCCCTTCTCCCTCCTTTATTTGCTTCTCTCGCTTCAATCCCATGTTTGTAAAGTGCTCCGACATTACCTACATGAGGGGTGGTATATAAATACAAATTGTTCTTGTTGACTACAATTCGAAAGTCATTGATAGTCCCTAGTATCTCATCTGTGAGGTCATTTTTATCATGTAAATGGGGCAAATTCCTCAACATATGTAACTTCTGGTCTCTCGGCTTAAGGTACCATAAGCCTACTGCAGATTTTGAGCAGGCTGGCCAGCAAAAAACTGAAAATTGAAAAGCAGCACTAAAAGGATTTAGGTTGAGGGACAATCAATTGTTAGTAAGTAATGTCACGTTTCAGCACATAATCAATTCTCAAATTGCTGCATGCCTTACAAATTTAAGTGATCATTCACAAGTAAGCAAATTGACTCCTAACATAAAACTGGATTTAAATTCCTTGATGTTCCAGGACATATTACTAATATGTATATCTCTGAATTGTATACAGATTAGTAATATAAATGTAATCATATTTGCTGAATGTCTACATCTGTAAACCAGCTATTAAAGCCAGGATTAAAGACAGACAGCAGTTACATTGAAAAGGTATGGGGAATGAGCAGGCAATTGGGATTCAAATAGATGGTGTCAGTGGAACAACAACAACAAGATTCCATTTATAAAGCGCCTTTCACGTCAGGAGGACGTCCCAAGGCGCTGCACAGTTGGGTCATGACCCGAGCAGGGGGGAAATGGTCAGGGTGAGGGGAGGGATGGGAGGGAGCGAGAAGGGGGAAGAGAGTCGAGAGGGGAGCTGAAGGCTCGGTCAAAGAGGAACAGCTAGCATAAACACAGATTTAGTGTGCCCATAAACTCCTGTGCTGTAATTTCTATGATTCTCTGGGAGACTACTTCCTTTGCTGTTTATTGTGCTCAAAAGTCTTATTGCAGCCATCAACATTGTGAAAACAAATTACATTCCTTTATTGCTTTTGCAGGAATATGAGATTTTTCAATGTTAGTCTTCCATTTAATATCGATTTTTGTCAAAATAGCTTTAAATGCTTCACAAAATGCGTAACTTACTTGGAAGTGCAGCGGTTTTATTTGTATGTAAAGTGGCATTTAATCTACGCAATCAACATCTCGTAAACAGGAGTAAGGTAAATGATTAGGTTTAATCTGTTTCTGGTATGAGAATAACAAATGCCTAGCTGCATTATTTAATATATTATTTATACAAATAAATAAGTTGTTATTTCTATCATGCCAACAATTATAATCCCGTGTTTTTAATTATATTAAACCATACTCTTCATCTGCTATTTACAGGGTATTCACCATAGGTGCATTGAAACCAAACCTTGTTCTGGTTCAATTTCATGAGATATGTTAGATAAGAGTTAGGATGTTTGACCAGATAACAACAACAAGAAGATTACATTTGTATAGCGCCTTTCATGTCAGGAGGACGTCCCAAGGTGCGGGACAGAGTACAGCATTTCAGACCTGAGCTGGGGTTGGGGAGGGAGGGGAGGGGAGTGGGGTGGCCGATGGCATGGTCGAAAAGGAGGGTCTTGAAGCGAGACTTGAAGTAAGCTAAGGAGGGGGCGAGGCGGAGTGACTGGGGGATAGAATTCCAGAGGTTGGGGCCAGAGTGGCTGAAGGCTCTCCTGCCAATGGTGGAACCGCTGGGTTGGAGGACATGGAGCAAGCCAGAGCCGGCTGAGCGGAGGGAACTGGCAGGTTGGTAGGGGGTTAGGAGGTCGCAGAGGTAGGGTGGGGCGATGCCATGGAGGGCTCTGTAGGTGAGGACCAGAATCTTGAACTGGATCCTCTGAAGGATAGGGATAATTCAGACAGCTGATAATCAAACATCTTTTACCAATTCACAGTTTAAAATAAATGACGGAATACGTAAAGGCTATTGCACTCATTCTCATTGTTTCTCAAATATCGTACAATCCTCTCTAACCCAGGGCTTGATCTAATCCATTTGATGTCCTGAGGGAACACTCCTCAAGGGTAGATCAAGCAAAACCGTAGCATATTAATCTAACTGTACATTCTACATTGGTCTTCCTTGGTTTAATATTCCCATTAGCTGAAATCCACTATATTCCATAAGTAAAGAGTTTGATTATTTCCAGCTGCACTTATAACTTCAGTTTAACTTCCAATGCCATTGCTCACCAAATATGAACAAATGAAATCACTTTCCAGCAGATGAGTGTTCAGGATTTGAATACTTTTTTTATTTTTAGACCAAGAGACCAGAGGTTTGGTAGGAATATACTGGGATTCTTCTGGAAGCGCAATGTCTAAAGTAAAATCCATTAAAATTAAATGGGAGAGAGAATCTTTCACTTAACCTTTTTCCAAACTGAACTGCAACTAAAAACGATTTTGATAGCTCAAAATAATTTCTGCCTTTTAAACTCATGTTGTTGTGATTTCTCTGCCATATCCTATCAATCACAGTCTGACCATTTCCAGCTGTTTTGGCAGGCACGATCAATTGAATGATCACGCACATTACTAGGTTTATTAGATTATTTGGAGAAACAGGACTATGCACATTTTAATGAAAATCTTTATGCTGTCTGTTAGCTGCTCGACTTCTGAAACCTCTCCCGTTTTCCTTCTGCCATTTCAATTTTACGCTTGTAACATCTTTGTGAGCACGTTTCGTTCCTGCTCCTTTTATTTTGCATTCAACTGTTCACTGTATTTTTATACAAAGAGGAAAAGATCCCACGATGGGTAAGGCCGGCATGTTTATTCAGTGAGCAGTAAATCAATGCAGTCTGAGAAGCACCGAGCATTGATCCCCAGTCAGCTGATCTCAGCCAGGGTGGGAATAAGGCTAGAATGGCTTCAGCATCCTGAGCTAGAGACGAGAAACATCAGTCAGGATTCCAACTCTTGATCATAATCCAATGAACCCTGGTGGAGGTGCATGTATATTGAGCAAGGACAGAATTGGGCTCAGCTAGGATGCCCTACATGGTTGAACTGACTGTTGACATTCCCTGTCAAAGCTGACAAATTTATAATGGATACTTGACTGGTGTACTTGGGATTGACTTGCACATGTGAAACTCTACGTAGGTAGAAACCAAAATGGAATACAACTTCGGGGAAGGAGGGAGGTAGGAAGAGAAGAATTTGTAAAGAAAATTGGGTGGGAGGAGGATGGGGTGAGAGATAAAAGCATTCAAAGAAGTGTCAGGTTTCATGATGTGTTCATTCATGTCTAAAATTTTACCCCATGTCAACCTTTCGATTGGATAAACTGGCCTGGATTTACTGAGATTAACATTTAAACTTCCTGGATTAAGAATTGATGGTAATTAATATGAACAGACATATTAAAGAAAAAAATGCACAAATCTTCAGAACATTTACTAGGTTCATTCTAGATTTTGAATTTGTCAAATTCTGGACACTCTGAAATGCAAAGTAAATAGAGTAAATCTAGAATTTGTCCCCTATATCTTTTCAGTTGTAAAATTGGGATTTGAGTCCAGCCCAAATTGATGGCTTGAAGTCTCTTCTCATTACCAAGATCAAGAATGCTATATGAAAGAGTCTCCATCCAGTTTCTTGTAGATGATGACTAAAACACATTACTGTCCCTAATTCAGCACAAATTGCCAATTTCACCGAGGAAGGCCATAACAATGGAAGGATTTACACTGCTGGATCCAATGCCTTCTGAGGTTGGACTTAAGATAGTTTATTGGGAATTTTCCATCTGATTAGTGGAAGTGTTCCATTATGCAATCCTGACAACACATTGCCATTAATAGTAACCATGAAGTACTGGTAGATCTTTTAGGACTGTCACTTCCTGAGTCCCAAGCCTGGTGCTTGACCACCCAAGCTACCTGGCTTCTCTTACCTTGATGAGCAAACCAATAGAATAAATAATCTTCATGATTTCTACCCTCTGTTTTAAAAAAAATGTGAACTTCAGGAGCAATTACTAAGAACTAACAGATTTCTCAATTTAATATTGTTTTTGATGACGACATTCTACTTGTAACCAACTTCTCTTTCTTTGCTTCACATCCTTCAATAAATTCCTGCCCTCTTCCCTATCTTGCTTTATTTATCACACAGCATTTATCGTATTTGCATTTGTTTCCCAGAAACACTTGTACGAGCGAGCGTCTTTCTGTGTTGGCCTATTTCTATACACAGAAGATCACAACAGTCTCACATGAGAAGGGGCTCATATTACCAAACAGGCTATTGTTTTGTGTTTCATCATTTTCCACTTCTTTTTGTCTCTTTCAATTTCAACACTAAACTAGCTTATTAACTTTTATATTTTCCCCTTTCATCTTCCAGGATCTTTCTACTCCCCGTCAAAAGGGCAACAAGGTTTTTTTTTATATAACAGATTATTTCTGCATTTCAGGCAACAATTTAATTGATGAGAACTAACCGGTATTCACCATTCAGTAAGTTTTGTAAATTTGCCTGTGTACTCAGAGTAACTATAATGTAATTATTCATACATATAATTACATTTTGTGTTCATAATGTACTGTTTATGAGTTAAACTTACATTACAATTCAATTTGAATGTAAAATGAAGTTATACAAAACTTTTTGATTTAAATTAATTATTCATCAATATCTTCAACATTTTATTCAACAGGTTAAGGATTAAGCATATTATGTTTGGGAAAACGATTATGGATTTTGAGAAAGATGCTTAGGGATAGGTCAAGATTGCAATACATTTACAGGTTTTATTTATACGAGAATAACATGTCCTCTATTTTCCTGCTTTGGATCCCTCTAGCTTTAATCAGTTGCAATGAGGTCAGGCATCATGCTCTGTGACCTCTGATAATGCCTTATCGACATCCTCCACATGGAGATATCTGAGATCAGACATCTATAGTCAATTGACCTGCTGACCCTCTTTGGAATCACACATGAAAATTGGCAACTTTTAGCAATGTGCTGGAGGGCAGCTGCTACCCATAAACTGTACCCGAGTAATAGTTAGCATCTTCAGGAGAGAAGGGTAAAGGAGAAGATAGATTGCAGAAAAAGAATGGTGCTTATCTATTTTGTATAAAGTGTCATTGTGTTTATGTGGCGCTCTAGACCCATGTAATATCGAGTTCCAAGTTGAAGAAACGCCTTCATTTTTTTTGTGCCTGTTCTCAAAAGTTTAAAGTACATTGGCTGTAACAGAGACCTCACTTTTGGAGCTTGTCCAAGTGTGTCTCAATCAGCTTGCCATTTACTGAACAATTAAGCTCTTTTTTCTTTGATTTCTTTACAAACATGCTTATGTGCTGGAGAAAAAAATATTCAAGTATAAAAAGGTTGAGCCCAGTCCAGCAGCAGAGAACAGGCAAGGCCTGTACACCCTCTCTGGGGTACAGTGAATGAGAGGGGTTTATTATTGGAGCCTGTGGGCATGTACTGAACTATTCTGCAACACAGTTCGACTGATTGCGAGTGTAATTTTTGGAGTGAAAAACGAAAACTAAAAATGGCTAAGGATATTTATCACACAGTAAAAAGTCCATTTTGTTTACCTTTTAAAGATGGAAGTCTGTTGTGACATCAGTATAGAATTCTGAGTCACTTGTTGCTTGGTACTGGGTATGAATCCAAGAATGTCCACTCATCCTTTGAAGATGGATAAACTGAGTAACAATTCTTAAATATTCTCGATTGGGGGGTTAATAAAAGATATGGGTAAATGGGGGTCTGCCTGAGGCTGAGAGCCTCAGAGAAGAAATGCCTGACAAAGCCTGAACATTGTTTAATTTGTCCTCTCTGTTCTACCCACAAGATTACAAGATTGATTCTGACGAAGAAGGCCCATGTGACCTCATCCTTCCAGAATATCCACCCTATCTTCTTATTACAGGATCGAGCTGTTTTTTAATTGAGTCCCAGCATCCGGCCTGAAAATCCTTTGAACTTTGGTTATGGCCGGTATGTAGGCCTTGGCCCTTTATCTTTTCCATAAGAAAAAAAGTGTATTGCCAACGATATTGACAATTAAGTAATACCATTAAATGATACCAACATTGTTAAGTTATTAATTTTGATTGTAGGAAGGACCAGAATGTACTAATAGGAATAGTGCCAGAACCCCTACATTGCTTTCTCATCGACTGCATGTTAATTCTGCTCCCTCACACTAGACTCCATAACATTTACAAACTCGTACCCTTAAATATGTTCTAAGCAGTTTTTCTTTAAATAAAAAAAGACCTAAGCCCAGACAGAACAAAATAAGGTTAGGGATGTTTCTATTATGAAACAGATTTGTAGTAATAAGAGCTCAACAGTGAGACGCACAACAGTGTTCTGCTTCAAATAAAGTGGTATTTCCCATTTTAATTATTTTAAGATTTAAAAGATTTCGTTCAAACAAATCTTTTGTAATACCTTATATTTGCCACACCTGTTTATTAATCTATAATGTAACAGTTGAATGAGATAACGTGCAATTTATGAACTAAACAAATTGTATTTATATCTCACCTTTCACGTCAAGGCACTGGACAGTTGAGAGCTTGCACCCAAGCTGGATTTCCTCTTTCATGGATTCAAGAGGTTTGGGGACCAAGGAGGTGGGGGCGGGAAGATGATCAAAGGCACAGGCAAAGAGGAAGGAAGCAAGGGAAGGGGCGAGGCAAAGGATGGGGGCAATAGGTTGGTGGAACCTGGTGCGGGAGAAGTCCCAAGCTACAGAATTCTGAATAGTCTGCAACTTGTGGAGGGAAGAGTTGGGAAGTCTGGCCCAACTATGTATATTGGTATGCATAATGGCTATGATAATTATTACAATAGAGAGAGGATTGGAAGGCCATTCATTGGGGTGTGCTTCTTTCATCAAGAGCATAGCCAATTGCCAGTTTTCATTTCTCTTGGCTGTCTATATTTCTAGCTCTGTCACAAGAGACTTGTCCTAACCCTTTTCACACACTGCAGACTGTGTGCATGCTATTTGCACTTAATGACTTCCCATTGATTTCTTCAACTGTGTCAATTTGACACTCCAATTAAAACTTAAAGGGATTTCCTCTTTCATATGATGTTGAGACAACCTATCTCAGCTTCCCCCTTCTGGAATTCTTAATATACTCTTTTTTGTTGACTGTTTCCTACCACAATTTCGCTTTCGCTGTCACGGTCACTCCACTCCACAGAAAACTCGCAGAGTGGGTGGCAGTATATCTCACTGCATTCTATGCTAACACCAAATTCATCATGAACAAATAAACACCTTAACATAAAACAAAACATTTTTGATTCCTTTCCTATTTGAAGCTGGAGAGCATTTCACTCGGGGCTGCTCAAATATTCTAAGCACAAATGAATAACTGACCTTATTCTTGGAATTCCACTACCTTAGCTTAAAACACCAATTAAACACTTTGACCACATTTCTATGCTAAAGACTTGGGAAGTTTTACATTTCTGTCAACCATCTGATCATGCTCCAATCACTCACCACTTTTCCTAATGACAACACCCATCCAAATAAATTGTAAAAATTGTACTGTTCCATCCCAGCATTCAAGGCTATTGTCATGGTCTCTTGCTATTTTCTTACCGAAGACATAAATCTCGTTGTTCAGAACGGCTGTGCTGAAGCGATACTTGGAGAATTTCATAGGCTTACATTCAGTCCATTTATCTCTGTCAGGGTCATACCGGAACATTTTGTTACTTAGTCGCTCAGGTTCATCATTGGGGAGATCCATCTGCATAACAAAACATGACAGCAGTAGATAAAGAGGATATTTAGACCGATGTATACCTAAAATACAAGTAATTAATCACATTGGACGCTAATGTGGATAAAATGCCTGCAAGGACAAGTGATAAAAAATACATCAATTAATGTCAAATTTAGGGGAAAACAGATTTGTTTTAAATAATTTAAGAAAAAGTCCTGAGCAGCCATAATACTCCAATAAAACAACTTAAACTGTTGGAAATCCAGATTTCCAAGGTGAATCCACTTGTGAAAGAGAAAGACAAGTTAATGTTCAGAACTGAAAGGCTGCCCCTTTTATGGGAGGAGAGCAAGTAAAAATTGCTGTGATTTTTAAACATTTTCAGTTTATATTTCACATCAGTCATGCACAGTACTCTGGCGAGGCTGTACAGTATTTTGGCTTTGGTTGCACCTGAAGGAATGTAGTGTACAGTTTACTTTGCCGTGACATAAAGGAGTTACCCAGGCCTAAGAGTTAGTTCAGAAAGCAACAAGGCTAATTCAATGATCCCAATTTTGCTAATTCTTTAATTGTCAGGCGTTATTATCTCTCATGTGGAATAAAATTAGTTATTCATTTCATGGCTGAATGTGGGATATTGCTGTACGAAATTGGGCTGCTGTGTTCCACTACAAATACACAGTCACACCAATTCAGAGTAAATCCTGTGAAGTGCTTTAGGAAATTCTCCGAATGTGAAAGGCGCTATATCACAACAACAACTTGCATTTACATAGCGCTCTTCACGTGGGGTAGCATCCTGGAGTGCTTGACAGTGGTGGACTCTGACACCGCAGGGGGAGAGGGAGGGGGAAAGCTGATTGTAAGCACCATCAAAAAATACCAAATTCAAGGATTTTTTTTTATTATTATTATTTTCTATTACATATAATGGATCAGATTTTCTATCTGCTGTTACCCAAGTTTTATAAACTGTTAGACTACTGATCGATTCAGGGATATTACTGTCTTCCTTACTTAATTTTTTCTGTCTCTGTGCATCACGTAGCCAATTTGGAATTGGAAACATCGCTGAGAAACTATCATTTGAGTGCAAAAACTTAAATATAAGCGCTGACTATTGCCATTACACAGGAAATTAAACCCCAGCGTACACCTTTTCAGAATAATCTTGGAAGTATACTGAAATGCATCTGTATAATTATTTGCACGATAAAACAGCCAACAGCATTCTACAAGCAGTTTAACCTGTGGTGTCCATCCTCCCATTACGTAAATCCGGTTATATGCAGTGACGACAGCATGACATGCCAATTGTACAGGCAAAGGAGCCACACTTCTCCACTGGCTGGTCTCCACCATGAACATATCGACACAGTTTGTGATCATATACTGGTTCTTCATTTTCATCTGCCCACCAATAAGGTATAGGTTGCCATAAGTGGTTCCCAATCCATAGAGCTCTCTATAGGGAGCTGTGCAAAGTTTTTCCCAATGATTATTTCCTCGGATATGGTACCTAAAAATCAGAGAATAATTATTCAGAGTAAAATATTTCTGAACTTAGTATTTGAGAAGATTGCTCAGTGTGATGTGTTCTGAGTGATGTGTTTAATGTTTAACAAAATGTCAAATCAACCATCAATTACTGTTGATTTCTGAATACATCCATAGTCAGACAGATTAATTCAGGGATATAAAGATGCATTTAACTTCCCAAACTCCCATCAGTAGCATAGTTTGGTGCAAAAAAGCATAACAACAACAACAACAAAGTTATATTTATAGAGCGCCTTTCACGTCGGGAGGACATCCCAAAGCGCTGAACGGTCAGCTGTTGGGGCCCAAGCATGGGGGAAGGGGTGGTGTAGGGGTGAGGGAAGGCAGAGAGGTGGGAGGGAGACCAAAGACACGGTCGAAGAGAAGAGTCTTGAGACCGGCCTTGAAGGATGCGAGGGAGGAAGCGAGGCGAAGGAACCGTGGGATGGATTTCCAGAGTGTGGGGGCAGAGAGGCTGAAAGCCCGGCCACCAATGGTAGGGCGGGTCAGGCGGGAGACATGGAGTAGGCCGGAGTCTGATGAACGGAGGGAGTGGGCAGAAGGTGCCCAATCAGAAGATTGCATGTGTTAGCAAACATCCTTCGGTTAGAGGGTTGAGGTTCAGGCTATCATTTGTGTAAGATGTTAACTGAGTCCTGTTTGCTGGTTCAGGGGGAGGTTATAAGTATTCACATAATGGTCAACATTTAAATTCACCAAAAAAAACACTAATAAATTGGTCATTCAATAGTTCATTTGTGGCAGGTTGCTTGGCACCGATTAACTATTGGTTGGCTAGTAAGGATATTAAAAGTAACTTTTCTGTGATGTCATATAAGATTACACAAGAATTTAGGATCAGGAGAGCCAAGGTTACTAGTTTTAGTAGGAGCTGATTGGGAACATTAATTACTACAGCAACAAGTACCCACCTAACTATTTCCACATTCTTGGTCTTTTGCCTTGACATTCTAGTCACTCCTGCTTCACCTGCTACAATAATATCATTGTTCTCCGTCACAACACCAGTGTAGACATATCCCAAAGCCTCTCCATATTTTGGTGACAGAATATAATAAGATTTTTTAGTTGCAGGTGCATAGCAATAACTAGTGTCAGTGTAACTGCGGTGCCTTGATCTTATTCCTTGACCATTGGTGCCAATACACAGAAGGAGGTCCGTGGTCTCCATCCCATAACGTAGATGGAGAGATGGGTGTTGATTTGTCTTGTGGATCTTATCAATGGCAGACTCGATCATGTTATAGCATTCTGCATCACTAAGAAGGATTGTGTTCCTTTTACGAGCTTCCTTTAGAAATGTAGGGCTCACAAGCTGCAATCTCACCTGCTTCATGAGTTCTAGAAGGTATTGAACACGTGACTTCCGCTCATGATTTACCCATCGAAGGACTAAGTCCAAGATACACTCCTCGCGTGAAATATTGAGATCATCAGAGCAGATCAAAGGTAACAATTGATGTATTTCAATCTCCAGTACCTCCTCATGCAAACAGGTTTCTGCAAAGTGCAAAAGGAGATATTTGTTGGCTTGGTGAGACAGATCTTCTGCTCCGAGTTGCTTTGCAAAAAAGTGAATTCCAATACAGTTGGATGCGTCCATGTGGTCCATCATGTATTTCTGGCAATTCATGAAAATGTTTTCCATTTGTAGGAAGAAGGCTGTGGTGGCCACTCCCTGGACGTTGGAATTAGTAAGGGCCAGATCCGATCTGTACATGTAGTTTAAAAAGATGGCCACACTCTCTGCTTCCATATCATGTAGAACAATTTCTTTCTGACTACATTCCATCAATCCGCATGTGAACATTGCTTTGAAGTAAGGACTGAAAGCAGCCAGAACAAGACGATGGGAGGGGAACTTTGACCCCTGTGCTACCAACACAACATCGGTCAGTTCATCCAAGTCTTTCATTTTATTAATTCGGTTAAGTAAATACAAACTGTGTTTGTCTCTGACTGTGCTGTTGTAATCCATGGTTGTTGTCATTGTGAACCAATAATTTCCCCCAAACAGTCAAAAAGTATGAAAAGCTTTAATTTGCTTGTTTATGCTGTCTTTACTATTAATTTGAACTATATGCGGGTTGGTTCGCCACATTCGCTTATACTATAGAGCACATGGTGAATCTTCATACCTTGTCTTCATCTCCAAACTGGAATTAGAACAGTTACTATTTAAAAAGTGTCTACAACAACAACAAATTGCATTTATATAGCGCCTCTCATGCAGGGTTCGCGTCCCAGAGCTTTTACTGGAATTTACACTTACCTCATCTACAGTTTAACATTATTTTTCATAAGGATGACCAGTTTTGACCAGCCAGCACTACAGTACTGCATGGAGTATTCGGTCATCTATACTTAGATTTATCCTTTCAATCCTGAGCTTCTAGAGGTTTCGTGTTTCAGTGTTTTGCACATGCAGACATGCTATTTATTAATATTTTGATGTAGATGGCTGGCTGGCAACCCTAGACAACAAGTCTTTTTTACCCCTGTCAATTTTCTCCCCTCCACTTCTAAAGACTTTAATTCCTTTTTCCTGGAACTTTTCTGTTGTATGGGTGCCTGCCACTGATATCTCACCCAAGTGGCCATAAGACATATGCAGACCAAAACAATTTAAATATCCAGCCTATTTGATTGTAGAGACCCTAATAGCCAGCAATGACGCTATCCTTATTCCACGGTTCCACTTTCCAAAACAGAATTTACTCACCCTAACCCAGGGCACTGAAATCAATAGTAACCCCGTTCCCCCTCCCCCAGCTGAGATTGGATCAAAACTGGAATCTTCCCAGTCTGTATAGTTCAGTTCACTGAGCCAGCCATGTGGCGATGGGGGGGGCATAGCCACACCAACATAATTTTTCTTCATTTATGATTGACCAGCTATACTGTTGCAGCTACTTTTGCAACCGGTTTCATTTAATCGGACTTCTCTGTTTTGTCTGGCATTTTATTTGCCCTTGAAAGGCTTGATCTTTGCTTCTTAGGCATCTTTATCCCTTAAGATTAAGAAAATGTCCTGCTGAACTTGTTAGCATCTCTTGTTCACATATTTGCACACATATCCTTTTGGGAGGACTCCTGTGGGGAGGCCTCAGTTGGAGGACTCAATGGAGGACTCGTGTTGGGAGGACTCCTTGTTGGAGTCCATACATGTGGGATGAGCTTGTTTAGGTCACGATAGGTGATCCCCGAAAAAAATATGCCCATTACACTCCCCAGTGCAAGACCTGTCCAATGAAGTATAATCATGTCTACATCAATTGGTTAGACAGACACCTTTACCAGTATAGCTATATCTCTCTAAAATGGTGTATGACCTCTATCGCTATTTTGTTGCAGAATACCATGTATACTTATCTGGGGCTTAATTAAAGCGTTTTAATTTTTTTAAAAAATATCATCAACAATAGTAGATCCCTGAAAAAAATATGGCCATGACACTGCCCCATGCAAGACCTTTCCGATGAAGTATAAATCATGTCTCTACATTAATCGGGTATTGCGTTCTTGGCGGACACACACACACAGACAGACATTTCGTTTTTATTAGTATACATGATAACCAGTGTTAAAAGTACAATGCAAAGCAAACATCCTAGCTGAAAACAACTGAAACTTTAAACTCATAATTTCAAAACAAATTTATGAATCCCCATAGTTTTGTGAGAATTAATCTTATTCTAAATACCTGTTTAAATTGGTGAATATACTGGGTGGACACAGGCAAAGCTTTTAGACTATTCACCCTCATTGAGTAGACTTCAGTCACCTGAATGTGCTCACCAGTTATTATAAGCAACATGCAGTCCAGTGACTGTTTTAAAAATAAACCATGATCGTTAATAGCATAGGCAGTTCTTGAAAATAAAGCTTTCAGGGCAAGAAATGTTCTTCGTTAGCCACCAAGCAACATGTTCCTTTTTACTTATAATGCAGTAGTTGTCTAATTTTGATTAATGTACGATAATCTTACCTCAGCTGTCCCCAAAGGATAGATAAGGTAGAATGTCAAAATAATTTCTTTGGGGTATACCATCTAGATACTTATATGGGATTTTTGTTTTGTTTATTATTCACTACTCACTTGTTTTCTGTCATTTCAGATCATATTGCATAACATTTAATTCATATTTTGCAAAATCCTTGTTGGCTTCTTGTGCTGTTTTTTGTTCTTAATTTTTCATATCCTTTAAAATCCCTTTCACCCTTTCCTTAGTTGTTTCATGGTAAAGTCCTGTTAATTTAAGCAAAATAGTCCAACTGTTCTGCGCAATGATTGGTCTTACAGTAAGCAATGATATGTATAACCTTGCAGTTGACATTTGAAACTGTCGATCAAATGTGTCCATGAGTCTTCATGGGAGATGTAGTTTTAGTTACATGACTTTCGTTGAACACATGCTGTGCGCAGTTGGCTACTGTGTTTCGCCCACAAAGTGCACAGTCAATTCATTTTACAGTATATTCTGTGAAGCGCTTTGAGATGTCCCAACAACTTGATAAGGCACTATATCAAATATAAGGATATTATTATTATTAATTTGCTTTCTTTTTTTGATAAATTTTGAGTTACATCTGGCTATGTTTGGTCAATAAGTATTATATGTCCTCAATGATTTTTTAAAAAGCACATATTAAAAGCGTCATAAGAACATAAGAATTAGGAGCAGGAGTAGGCCATTCGGCCCCTCGAGCCTGCCCCACCATTCGATAAAATCATGGCTGATCTTCAAACCTAACTCTAATTACCTGCTCTGTCCCCATATCCCCTAATCCCTCTGTTTTTTAAAAATCTATGAGTCTCAGCCTTGAAGATGTTCAAGGACTGAGCATCTACAGCCTTCTGGGGTAGTGAATTCCATAAATTCACTACCCTCTGAGTGAAGAAATGTTTCCTCAACTCTGTTCTAAAAGGCTGACCCTTAATTTTAAGACTGTGACCCCTGGTTATAGATTCTCCCACCGGGGAAACAGTCCCTCAGTGTCTACTTTATCAGCCCTTTAAGAATCTTATATGTTACAATAAGATCTCCCCTAATTCTTCTGTAGTCTAGAGAATACAGCCCTAGTTTATTCAGCCTATCCTCATAGGTCAGTCCCTTCATCCCAGGAACTAACCGAGTGAATCCACGCTGCAGCCCCTCAGGCGCTGACAGCATCAGCATCCAAGGCTGCACTCTCCACCTCTCAAAGCAGTCAGGAACCTCGGTGTTCTGTTCGACCCTGAGCTGTCCTTTCTTCCTCATATCCGCGCCACAACTGGCACCGCCTACCATCACCTCCGGAATATCGCCAGACTACGGCACTACCTCACCCCTCACGCTGCTGAAACCCTGGTCCACGCCTTTATCACCTCAAGGCTGGACTATGGGAACTCTCTCCTCGCCGGCCTTCCCGCCACCTCCCTCCACACTGCAGGTCATTCAGAACTCTGCAGCTCGTGTACTGTCCCGCACCAGTCTTCGCGACCACATCACTCCCACCCTCGCTCGCCTCCACTGGCTCCCCATTCCCCAGAGGATCGAATTCAAGATCCTCATCCTCACCTACAAACCCATTCACGGCCTTGCTCCCTCCTACCTCTCCAACCTACTATCCCCCTGCATTCCTTGCCCATACCCTCCGTTCCTCTGGCTCCGGTCTGCTCCACATCCCCCGCCCCAACCGCTCTACCATCGGTGGCCGGGCCTCCAGCCTCTCAGCCCCTAGGCTCTGGAACTCTATCCCCCAGTGCCTTCGCCGCTTCCTCCCTTTCCTCCTTCAAGGCCGGTCTCAAGACCTTTCTCTTCGACTGTGCCTTCAGCTCCCCTCTCGACTCTCTACTTCCTCCTCGGTCCCTTCATTCCCTCCCCTCACCCTGACGATTTCCCCCCTGCTCGGTCCCGACCCAACTGTCCAGCACCTTGGGACGTCCTCCCGACGTGAAAGGCGCTCTATAAATGAAATCTTGTTGTTGTTGTTGTATGTCATTTTTTAAATAAGGATACCAAAACTGCACACAATACTCTAGGTGCAGTCTCACCAAGGCCCTATACAGTTGCACCAAGACTTCCCTACTCTTGTACTCTAAACCTTTTGCAATGAACGCTAACATGCCGTTCGCCTTCTTAGTTGCTTGCTGCACCTGCAAACTAACTTTTTGAGACTGGTGTACAAGGACACCCAAATCCCTCTGCACACTAATCTCTAATCTCTCCCCCTCTTGAAAATAATCTGTTTTTCTATTTTTTCTACCTAGGTGAATAACTTCACACTTCCCCACATTAAATTCCATCTACCACCTGCTTGTCTACTCCCTGAGCCTATCTATATCCAGTTGCAATCGTTTTGCATCATCCTTAGACCTTACTCTCCCATCTGGTTTAGTGTCATCCGCAAATTTAGATACGTTACATTCAATGTCCTCGTCTAGATCATTGATGTAAATTGTAAATAGCTGAGGCCCAAGCACTGATCCTTATGGCACTCCACTAGTCACATCCTGGAAATTCGAGAATGACCCGTTTATCCCTACTCTCTGTTTTCTACCCGTTAGCCACTCTTCAATCCATGCTAATATGTTCCCATTAATCCCATGGGCCTTAACCTTGTGTAATAGCCTTTTGTGTGGTACTTTGTCAAATGCCTGAGAATTTTGGAAGATCAAAGACAAAGACAAGCCATCCACTATCTCAGTAGCCACCTCTTTTAAAACCCTAGGATATAGGCCATCAGGTCCAGGAGATTTATCAGTTTTAAGACCTGATAATTTACTTAAAACCATTTCTTTACTAATATTAATTCCTCCAAGTTGCTCGCTAACATTTTCTTCTTGGTTCCCCTCTATTCTTGGTAGATTTTCAGTGTCTTCTAAGGTAAACTGCAGCAAAGTACTTGTTTAATGACTCTGCCATGTCTTTGTCCCCTACTATTATTCCCCCCGTCTCTGCCTGTCGCAGACCCACATTTACCCTTGACAGCCTCTTCCTCTCTATATATTTATAAAAACTCTTGCAGTCTGTCTTTATGTTCCTTGCTAGTTTGCCCTCATATTCCATTTTCTCTCTCTTAATCACTTTTTGGTTTCTCCTTTGTTGCTGAAAACAACTGAAACTTTAAACTCATAATTTCAAAACAAATTCAATTTTTTTTTATGAATCCCCATAACTTTGTGAGAATTGATCTTATTCTAAATACCTGTTTAAATTGGTGAATATACTGGGTGCACACAGACAAAGCTTTTAGACTATTTCCTCGTTGCAGACAGTTGTAATGCCCCATTGCTGTCCTGGCTGAGATCAGTTAACAATACACAGAACTGGGGTCTTCCCTTCTGCGTGGCTTTTTGTTACGCCAGGAATACCTCTGCCTACAATGCCCAGACCCCAGTCCTGGCCTCCTTTTCATCTGTGGCCCTGAGATCTTCCATGCATCTCTAGAATTATGATAATAATACTCCTTGATATAGTGTCTTATCACATTATTGAGACGTCTCAAAATGCTTCACAGAATATTTTGTGAAATAAATCGACTGTATATTTTGTGGGCGAAATGTGTTAGCCAATTGCATACAGCAGTGCCCCACAAACAGTCGTGGTTTTTTTCAGGGGTTATTACCCCCGCAAATAATACAGTAATAATCCTTTGATTTGACACACCTCATCACATCGTCAAGACGTCTCAAAGCGCTTCACGGGATATCCTGTAAAGGGGAATGGCTGTGTATTTTGTGGGCGACCAGCCAGCTGTGTTTCGCGCTTTGAGATGCCCTCCCAATCTAAATGTGGGAAAACTGCACTCGCACCTTGAGGTGTCGGAATTCAGTGCTTTCCGTATTCCTGCTCCCCAACGCAATAAGCTGGGCTGATGGTACGAAGAGGCAGGCCATCCATCCCAACCTCCACGAAGCAAGCCCGGACCGACTCCCCAACACCAGCGTCGGACCGTTCCTGAGAAGTCATTTGCTCGCCCCTGGATTATTTTTTTTCAAAAAAAAAAAGCAATTACTCCCATCAGGAGATCTTTTAAGCGTAGGCACAATATAATAATAATAATCCTTGCATCTGATATAGCGCTTTTCACGTCGGGAGGACGTCCCAAAGGGACACGCCGTAAAGTCAACTGACCGCACGTTTGTGGGCGAGCGCGGCGGCCAATTGCGCACAGCAGCGTCCCGCAACCGGCCGTGGATCGAAAATGACCAATTTACCATGAGCGTTTCGGGTTTTTTTTTGGAGGGATTATCATTAGGAGTGTGGAGTGAGGAAACTCGCCCAATATAGACAGAAAGCAGGTCGGAGTGGAGTAGAGGGAGGGAGTGGGGGGGGGGGGGGGAGGGGACCAGTTAACCAACAACAGGATCTTTTCCTTCAAATAAACCCTGGATCTGTCCAGTTGTTCCTGGTAACCCGATGCAGTGCACTGACTGTCGAAACCACCCGCTTTGCGCGTGTGTGTGTGTGTGTGTGAGTGCACATTCCCTGAGTGACTCGCGTTGTACATCGGGTGTCATTTTGAGCACTGACGGGGGAGAAGGCGTGTGAGCACAGGAAGGTTTCCTCCCCCCCCACCCCCACCCCCACCCCCCCCCACTCCTCCCTCTCCCCCGTCAGACCCACCGGCATCACAGTCTCGGCGGCAGCTTCAGACCGCCAGAGGCACTCACTCGCTCCGTGACATTGGCAACTTTGCAATTTTGAAAGATTATTTTATTTTTTTATTTTTTTTTGCACCGCACACACACGCGCGCACACACACACACGCACACACACACCCCCCCCCCCCCTCCCCAGCAGCGGGTCGGGTTGACAGCTCTCCTCCGGCACAAGCGCCCTTCATCCGTGTAAGACTTGACGTTTTCCCGGAGGTATATATAACGTGTTACCGAGGACGCGTTTGCAGTGTATTCGTTTGGTGACCTGTGTCCCGTTTGCGCTGCTTTTATTTCCTTTTTGCCATCAGTGAGTGTGTGTGTGTGTGTGTGTATGTGTGGACGTGAGTGTGTGTGTGTGTGTGCGTGTGTGTGTATGTGAGTGTGTGTGTGAGTGCGTGTGAGAGTGAGTGTGTGCGTGTGAGTGTGTGTGTATGTGAGTGCGTGTGAGAGTGTGTGCGTGTGAGTGTGTGTATGTGAGTGTGTGGGTGAGTGCGTGTGAGAGTGAGTGTGTGCGTGTGAGTATGTGAGTGTGTGTATGTGTGTGAGAGTGTGTGTGTGTGTGAGTGTGTGTGTGAGTGTATGTGAGTGTGTGTGCGTGTGTGTGAGAGTGTGTGTGTGTATGTGAGTGTGTGTGTGTGTGCGTGTGAGAGTGAGTGTGTGCGTGTGAGTGTGTGTATGTGAGTGTGTGGGTGAGTGCGTGTGAGTGTGTGCGTGTGAGTATGTGAGTGTGTGTGTGTGTGTGTGTGTGCGTGTGTGTATGTGTGTGCGTGTATGTGAGTGTGTGTGAGTATGTGAGTGTGTGTGAGAGTGTGTGAGTGAGTGTGTGAGTGAGTGTGTGAGTGAGTGTGTGAGTGTGTGAGTGAGTGAGTGTGTGAGTGAGTGTGTGAGTGTGTGTGAGAGTGTGTGAGTGTGTGAGTGTGTGAGTGAGTGAGTGAGTGTGTGAGTGAGTGTGTGAGTGTGAGCTCCGTCTTTGCAAGAGAGCCTTCACGGTTCCCAACATTCTCGTTCATGTTTCGATCCGCAAATGAACTTTCGGGTTAATGAGGACCTCCGATCGCGTCTCTCTTTGTTTTTCTCTTCTTCTTCTTCTTCTTCTTCTTCCTTCTAACCCCCAGTGAGAAAGAAGGGCAACTCGGGGGGACTGGGGGGGGAGATGCCATCGGAGGAGTGCGCGGATCGGGTCACCCCACAAGGATCACTGTACAGGGAACTGCCCCACATCATCAACACCGATGGACAGTACCTGTTCTGCAGGTACTGGAGCCCGAAAACAAAGCCCAGGTCAGCATCGCCTTTCTTTATTCTTTTCTTTTCTTTTCCTTTGTTGAAAGTTGTTGTTTTTTTTTGTTGGGGGGGGGGGGGGGGAGTGGGGTGGAAAAAAAAAAGAGCAAAACGCAGCAGAAATCGCGAGGGTGAAAGTCGAAAGTGAAAGCATCAGCTGTAGGTGAGAGACCGACTGTGTGCATTGCATTTCACGGCCAAAGTTAACACGAAGCCTCTTTGCAGAAGGCGAGGATCAGGAAACGACCAATTCGGTACATGTGAAGCGACTGCAATCGGTGAGATCTGTCAAACAGGGTCCAGGGCAGTAGTGGTGGGTTACAACTCACTCACTCACTCACTCACTCACTCACCAGCTGTGCATCCCGGAATTGCATGCTCCACTTTCTAGGTTTTTGCGACTGTTTTATGTGAATCAATCCATTAATAAGGGGTTGTTTGTTAGCTGTTGCAGACACCGCACATGGTATTTTTATGTGTGTGCATTCGGGAATCTCCTGCTTCGCTCTTCCTCGGCAGGTGACCAAATGCTTGAGCATTTTCTGGATATTAAACGTTAAGGGCCTTCCAGCAAAATGATCATAATAGATACCTAAACACGTGCTAAACAAATTACTCTGCATCAGCGATCTCAGTGCTTTCCTAATGTAATTCTCTCCTCCATATTATTCCTTCTATATAGGCTGAATCAATAGCTGCATCTCACTGAACTGATAATAATAATAATAATCCTTGCATTTGATATAGCGCTTTTCACGTCGGGAGGACGTCCCAAAGCGCTTCACAGAACACACTGTAAAGTGAACTGACTGTATATTTGTGGGCGAACGCGGCAGCCAATTGCGCACAGCAATGTCCCACAAACAGTCGTAGATTGAAAATGACCAATTTATTATTGTTTTTGGTTTTGGAGGGATTATTATTAGGCTCTGTGTGGAGTAAGGAAACTTGCCCAAGGTGTCGCCCTGTCTGGAATTGAACTCAGGTCTCTCGCTTGCAAAGTGAGTGCTCTAACCACTGAGCTACAGGACTCCGCAAACTACTACTGGTGTTAAGAGGAATAGACGATTATTTTAAGAAGGTTATTTGTAAAGGTGACAAATCAGATAACTGATACCTGATATTAGATTATCTACTTCTCTCTGTGTCCATGTTCAGTTTGGAGAAGATATGACCTTGTTCCCCTAAGCCTTAGTGCTAAATGCACCCTGTGGTGTAGTACTGAGCAATGCAGACAGGAAGCTCTCTGGTTCCATGAATGGTGGCTGCTGATCTCAGTAGGGGCAGACCTACCAGTGATACAATCTGTTTCAGTGCCTCTCACTCCTGCAGTCAAAACATCGGGAGTTTTCTACTTTGCGTTGGTATTCTTTTTTCTTTGGTTAGTCAGGTATCTGACACACATGGAAGGAAACTCACAAAGATTCAAACAAAACCACCAGGAGAGGCTAGAGAACCTCGGATTATTCTCCTTTGAGCAGAGAAGGTTAAGAGGAGACTTAATAGAAGTTTTCAAAATTATGAGGGGCTTTGATCGGGTGAACAAGGAGAAACTATTTCCACTAGCCGGTAGGTTGGAAACCCGAGGACACCGATTTAAAATAGTTGTTAAAAGAAACAGGGGAGGTGAGGAGAAATGTTTTCACACAGCGAATTGTTGGGATCTGGAATGCATTGCCTGAAAGGGTGGTGGAAGGCGATTCAACAACAACTTTTAGGAGAGAAGTAGATAATTATTTAGGGGGGGACAAGTTTGAAGGCTGTGGGGAGAGCGCGGGGGAGTGGGATTGATGTGGATAGCTCTTTTCAAAAAGCCAGCACAGAAACGATGGGCTGAATGGCCTCCTTCTGTGCTGTATAGTTCTATGGTAAACTACTGAGAGTTGCAGATATGTATGGTTTGTATTTGTCTGTTGGGGAGTGCACATTCTCTTCCCTGAGGGATACACCTTTCTTGTCTAATTCCAGAGAGTTTAGGTGCAGGTTTGTAACAACTCAGGTTTGAGAGCCCCAGAGTATGTATTGCGGTCAGCTGGAGTTGAACGAGCTAGACTGCAAAGCTTGTCATTGTGAACCCTGGTAAGTTTCTCACTGCTTATCCAGCTAGGACTAATCGACCTGGCTAGCCCAAAGTTAGGGCTTAGGCTTGCATGCTGAACAGAAGCTGAGTAGAAGGAATTCCAGCTCCCAGGGAATGGTCGGCTCCTCCATGTCCAGCCAATGAGCCAGTCTGGATGGTCCATTAACAATTTGGAGTAGTGTGGACTTGCCATGATCAGGAACTGGACTCCCAAAACTGCTACAGAGGATTGACTTAATTCTGATGCTCTGTTGTCAGATTCCAGTCAATTCAGTCTCAATGAGACCCCATATATCTCCTCCCCCTGCCATCCCCCCCCTCCTCACCCATGGATAATTACTTGACCACATGTTGGTCATTAAACACCTAACAACAAACAAACAGGAAGATGTTGCAAGAAGCTGGATAGTCGAGGATTTGCACCCGAGCTGGGAGTTGAACTCGGCGGAAGTGCAAGGGGATGATGACCAAAGGCGTGGTTAAAGAGGGAAGTCTTCAGACGGACCTTGTAGGAAGCGAGGGAATGGGGCAAGGTGAAGGGATTCCGGGATGGAGTACCAGAGAGTGGGGGCAGACAGGCTGAAAGCCTGACCCCCAATGATGGAGTGAGCAGGGTGAGGGCCATAAAGCAGGCAGGAGTGGGTGGGTTGCTAGGGTTAAGAAAGACATGCCACAGGTATGTGAACAGGTACCAGAAGCTCTCACAACCAACACAGAGAGCAGCACAACATAAAATAAATGAGAGAAATGTCACCATCCTCCTCACTTGGTTTCAGGTCAGTTATTGTGCTGGCTGTACAGCCAGGTCTAGATATACTTGTTATTGGTGTCACAGCTGGAAAAAGCATGTGTGTGGATGTTGGATGACCACACCATCAGTGCCAACTGTATTGTTGCCAGTGGTCAAATAGCCTGCCAACACTGACTGCCCGTGCTCATACATGAATAATGATCACTTCGATGAGATACTGGAAGAGTACTTCCACAATTGAACACAATTCAGTAAATTTGAAAATTTTCAGGGAGAAAAGAGGAGAAAACTGCAATAAATAAAAGAATGTGAACCGGCAGCATGTGTTTTAAAAAAATGTGATCACTCAATCCATGAATGTTTGCAACTGGTGGCTGCTTGTGGTTTGCAACTGCTGTGTGCAATTGGTTGCCGCATTCCTCCACAAAATACACAGTCAATCCACTTTACAAAGGTGCTTTGAAGCGCTTGGAGACCTCTCAACCACGTGATAAGGCGCTGTATCAAATGCAAGGATTATTATTATCATGTCCCAGTCATCAGTTTCTTTGTGTGAACATTATTGCACATTAGAGACCTGATGTACAGCCAGCACGATAACTGACCGCCAGCTATAGTAACTAAACTGTATCAGTGTCATTCAAGAATCATGTATCCCATGATTTTAATATACTTTTATAATGAAAAATCACATTGGTTCAGTTCCTCTGAATCAGCTGACAACTCCCTGAACTCAAAGGCATTATTTCCATGATTTTTTGTAAATCTATACAATTACAGAGCCCACGGTGCTTGAAAAATTGGACAGTAATGATTGCAAATTATCACATGAAATCAACTGAGTTTTCTACTGAACGATGTTATTTTGAAATCGATTTTCTAAACACTGTGCAATGGCATAACAAATATTTCTAGAAGAGAATGAGGTGAGCAGGGTGCAAGGTTTCCAGTTCCTTCAGAAGTGAAAAAAATAGCTAGTGTGGTAGTAAAATTCTAAAGCAATCATTTAAAATCTGATACAATTACAAGCATGTTTCCCAGAGTTATGAAAGGATTATAAATCAAGTTAGATATTCTTTTTATAGCCCGGTAGGTAAATCATTCAAATTATGCATTTTTAATTTCAGAGGGGACTAAATTAAGGAGTCTTGTAGTGTAGTATTTAGTGTGCTCGTAAGCAAGAAGACCTGGGTTCATTTTCTGGGCGGGGCGAAACCTTAGTTTCCTCACTCCGCATGCCTCTGTTTACCCAGCATTAAATAGGAACCCGGTTGTCAGTCAATTTGCAGATTGCTTTCCAGGAGGAATAATCCCTCCAAAAAGGTCAGTCCATGACCGTTTGTGGGACACTGCTGTGTGCAATTGGCTGCCACATTTTGCCCACAAAATACAGTCAATCCACTTTACAATATATTCTGTGAAGGGCTTTGAGACGTCTCAACGATGGAATAAGGCGCGATATCAAATGCAAGGAATATTATTTGTTATTATACACTTATACCTCTATTCTAATCCCAATTCCCTTCTCTTTCCAAATATCTTCTAACATCTCTGGTCTGCATGTGCTTGTTCAATTCTTTTTTTTAAATGCCCCAGCCTTTTATGTGAATGAAAATGTTACGTTAAAGGCTGAGGTCCACAGAGCAAGATATCCACTAACTATCTAGGTTGAAAAGAGCAGCATTAAAAAAAGTGTTCAATAAATGGATAGATGTCATCAAGTTTGGGCTTCAAAAGCCTGTAAATTGTGGGAGGATAAGGGTGAGAGAGTTGCTTCAGCCATGCATTAGGACATGATCAGACTGACACTCCAGCACATGCTGTATTGTTCGAGATGCAGCCCTTGGATGAGGAAACTGAGATCTTGTTCAGTTGGACTTTAAAGATACTCTGACGCTATTTTAAAACCACTGTCTAATATCTCCTACTGTAAAGTGAATGTGGATGACAGCTGTTTCTGATTAACTTCTCCTCCCCCCACAGTCCTGTAACAATGTTTGTGAAAGGAGGAGACAAATAATTTTCATCTTATAAAGCCACAGCTCTAAATTCCATGAAACTCATTTTGTGCTGACAAAATAGCATGAGCCAGTTCTGCTTACTTTCCCTACCTCCTCGCTTCAGGTAGGGTGCCCAGCCAGCTGTGCAAAGCTCTTTGAGACTTCCTCC